AATTAGGTCCCAAAACGCAATTTTCGATGCATTTGACTGGTTGATACCTTTTCAGACTGTCCCATTCTGGACGATTATCTAACGGAAGCGTTTCTTTCATTGTGAATTATGAATACCAATGCAGTGTAGCATAACAGTGAACGCAATTAAGATTTCAAATGATACTTCTCATGTACAGCTAATTAGCAATTATTGTCAAGTAAAGAATGAAAATATTTATTGAATTGATCACAGTTGATGGTGTTTTAAGTTGGTATCAAGAAAACATGAGGGGAAAGGCATTGAATGAACTACGTTGATGATATATTAATGAACCTTTGTTGAGATCGCACAACAATCAAAACTATAAATATGATGGTGTGATAATAATGAGGAAATTAATGGTAATGCTATTTGTGGTAGACGACTGGCTGAAATTATACGAGCAAAATAATGATTTCGTGCAAATTTAGTTGGCGAATCCAAGTGTTCGGTACGTGTTATAAACCTTCTCGATTGCATTCGCATATGCAGCCGTACGCAAATCGAGTCCAAGATTATATTTATGTGCCGTTGCGATCACTTGCTTGGCTGCAAAATGAACAATTAATTCTGAATCATTATCGGAAGCTATTTCGTAAAAAATAGAATTTTCTGAATAAAAGGTCCTTGTGAATTTCCAAAACAGAGCCGAATGTTTTGTTGAAACTGGTCGATCCCTTCACATCAGCACTATATGATGTGACTGAGATTCTCATTGAAAGTAAGTTCATAAAATAATCAGTTTGCCTAATTGAATGAACAATTTATGTTGACTGTGCTTAGTGCCACTGAACTGCTAACTGATCATATTCGTGACTCTATATGATCTCGAATAGAGGTCATTATTTAAACCTGAACGTTGCATTGTGTACTCAAGACCCGAGTTCACATAATCTTTCTCGGATGCAGTATCCAAATGGTTCCGGAACGCTTCCGATGGCTTTATTTTGATATCCTTTCCAACGCTCTTCCTCAGTGATTCCTCCACACTTCCTGTAAAAAAAATCATAGGTGATTAATGGTTTTTCATCACTATAACTCTTTAAAAATGCATCAATCACTCGCATTTCATCAGAGTTTCTACGTATTTTTATTGGCAGAGATACTTTGTCTGAATAGTCTTCCTAGAAAATGCTCCGTCGATCTCAAAATCTGCTGGCAGTGTTTCGATTTGTTGCCATTAAGTGGATTTACGATCACGTGACCAATCGATTGTAAGCCCTGTACTCGGATGATCACTACGGAACTAAACCAATTCACGCTCAGTATCTTACCGAGTAGTCCATAACTGCTCTCCTTATCGTATTTGAATGACAATCGGCCGAAGCTGACATGATTCAAATTTTTCAGCCATTCGAAATATGATACCGTAACACCACCACTGTTAACGAACAAATCCGGCACCAAAAGAATACCGCGTTTCAGTAGAATCTTATCGGCAGCTGGTGTTGTCGGTCCATTTGCTGCTTCGACGATCACCTAAAACGATCACCGACTTGTTCGCTCTCTGAATCTCTAAGCCGCTTGTGAATTGCAACTGAAAGTAGCGATCAAACTAGAAATGACCTTGGCTTGAATCTTTGCAGCGTTTCCTTTGTGAATTGTTTTCTCGCAAGCAGCCGGTACAAAGATATCACATTTCTGATAGATCAACTCGTCGAACGGTTCGTATGCTTTCGCATCCGGATAACCCTTGAAAGTGTCAAACGCTTATTCAGCCATAATGGCAAAAGTCAACGACAACACATGCAATGACAACAATTTGAATAGGCCTAAGTCATTTGCGAAACAATCAAACAAACACATCCGAAAGCAATGAATGTCCCCGAGCACCTTCAGTGTGCCATGTTTGCATTTCCACTCGTTCAGTTTCACCGGATCAATACCATTTGGATTGTAGACGGCCGTG